TTTAAACAATATAAAATATAACATTAAGTAAATAAGCATTATACCTTAGAGACAAATATGTCCATTTTTTTAATAGAGTAATAAATGTACCCAAATAAAAGCATATAACATGAGAGTAAAAAAAATATTGTTTCATAATTTATTTCTCCAGGATAGTAAATATGTAAAGTTGATGTGTCTGAAAGAATTTGATTTGATTTAACATGCACAGGGTAAATTTGTTTCAAATGAGTTTTCAATCCTTGTATGTATCTATGTTTAAAAAAAGTTTTTTATTTTAAAATGAAATTAATTATGTACCATTACTTATTTAGTACAAAATATAGAAATTTTAATAATTTAGCATTAAATCGGTTATAATCTTTTAATAATAAAAACAAAAAACGGGTAAGTTGTGGATGTCACTCTGCTGTACAGTAGGTTACTGTAATGGATGGAATTAATTTGAATCCAATGATATTATATCATTATATACAAAAACGATACTGAGCGGAGACGGTTTAGCTGTCTAAGATATATTATAGATTATTAAAAATTTAACTAAACAATTTAAAAAATTAAAATGTTGGTTAACAGTTCAAAACTAAACAAAATATTTTGAAAATCTTATCAAATATAGAAAATGTCTATATAAACATTCAGTGAAAATGTCAAGTATCTGCGGTCATTTGTTTCAGAGTTACACCAAAATAAGAAAATCGCTAAATGAGAAATCTAGTGAAAATCCAATGTTGTAGAAATTTAAATTTCAAAAGGTCATACAAAAATTAATTTGAATTTCTGGTGGACATTTTTTTTTGTGGTAAAGATTGATAAACTTGTAAGGAATCTTGTATTAAACTACTAGTACCAACAAGATTCAATTTCTGATCGAACGAGGTACTGAAGACAAAATTCGAAGCACTTTTACTACCCCAAAATGTGATGACAGACACAAAAAAAAAATACATCTTTGCTCCGCTTAAAATCTAAAATTATCTTTTAATATAATTTATAATGTTATTCCTACCACTTATTAATAACTTGCAATAAAATTTGTTAATATTTTATTAAAAAAGATGATTTACGGTGGGACGAGTTGTTTCATAAATATTGTTATAGCAAATTGAACAACTCTTTGTCGAGGATGCACAGAATATCTCCTAATTCCGGTTTCCTTAAGTGGCATTCCAAATAATAATTCCGGAATACTAATTTTTATATGAGATGGGCTCTGAAAATAAGTGCTAAAATAAATTAAGTTATAAAATATTATAAAAATTAACATAAATACATACCTGATAAGTAAAAATTGTTTTTTCAATGCTACTATCAGTACGGAACTCTTCTAAATCTTGATGCCACAAATTAGTTGGTGATACAAGTAAGCAACTGAACTCTGGCAATGTCTTTACATCAGAATTAATGTTTTCTATGTGTAGACAGACATCATTTAAAGAAATTCTAATGAATAAAACATATTTTTAGTAATAAATCCGTAAACAATATCCAAGATTTTTTTCAAATAAATACTTGTTGTCTAATTGATAGTTTCTAATGATCTCAACTAATTTGAATGATTCAGCTAAAGGGCCTCTGAAAGCGTCTGATAAAACTAAATTATCCAACCACGGGGTTACCATTGATCTCATAACTATCTATAGAGAACCACAAATATAATCGAAAAACAAAGACTTCAAATTGCAATTGCAGAATATGAGACTAGATTATTCAAAATTAGTTACTTGTTGTATATACACACTGGGTTGTCCATTAAACCATCGATTTGTTGCATTATCTGGCTTATAAGAAGGTGTTATGGTCGATTGTACTACATTGCTGAACAAAGGCAATCCAAACAGTGATAAGCTAGAACAATGTTATTTATTAAACTAATTATTATATTATTATTACTTGTGTGAAATATTATTTCAAACTTTTATAAATTAAGTTTAACTCTAAAAAGTTAATAAAAAGCAATGTCTGTTGGAAGTATACTCTGTCCAACGAGAGAATAGGTACACTGTGGCCAAATAAAAATGAATGGTTTGTGCATTCTTACATGACATCCTGCCATCAATTTCGGTTTTACTATGATATGGTGTCACATGGAGATGTGCAGAATAAACATATTCTCTCCGTTGGGCCGAGGTTAGCTTTTTATATTATAAATTTTTTTCTATGTTCAACTTATTTCGTGATTTCATACATAAATATGATTAATAATTATAGTTTCTATAAATTAAATAAATAGGTACTTATGAAATTGAAATATTCAACTACTAAAACTGATTATTATCAATAAAGAATGATTATCTATTATACCTAGTTGAAAAAAGAATTGTAGTTAAATACCTGCATAAAACAACAATTACAGTAGAAATTGTTAATGAAATGATGGGATGAGATGCACAGAACAAGCCATAGGAATAATATGCCTGCGACACTTTGTCTGGGAGGCGTCTGGGCACAGCTAAATTCGTCCAATTTGGGTCACCCATTTTTCGTAAGGATGCTGCAACATGTGTTTTGGTGATTGAATGAACACTCAAGAAGTTTTCAGTTTAAAAAAAAATAACAAATAATGCCGTACAATATTCACGTGGACATCTTATAAGCTCAGTGAACAGTTAGTAGCAGCTAGACGACACTGATTGTATACTAAACAGTTTGGAGAATAAAATGCGTTATTTTGTTTTCGATACTGACCATCTCGTACAAGCTGTAGCAATAGGTCACATTACTAAGCATGTGTTATCCAACCACTATAATATAGAAAAAATATCAAATACAAACATAAATCCACCGAGGATAAAAATGAAAACGTAGATGTTATATTATATTAGTCGAACGTGCTCATTAGTTATCTGCAAAAAAATAAAAAATTATAATAGAGAAAAAACAATAAAGCTTCAAATCRCGGTCTTTAGAGTTTAGACTTTAAAACAGTCTTGTAACATATTTTAAGTCTAAAGAATAACAACGTCAATAATTTAATTTTATATCATACAAGTAACAAAAATATGAAGAATTTAACWATATTATAATAACGAATATTACCATAGGGCATAGAACATGCCGTCACCAACGAATCATTAGACAGACGACGTKATACTGATAACGAGTTACGAGTGACAACAGATTGTGTATACTACTGTCTACTGTATAGCCCAATCACCTCGGTAGATACTGGAAAGTAAACTTGTTGCTTGAAGTTACAAGTTAGCCAAGTGAATAAGTGATGACGGTGTGATATGGTCAATGGTCATCAATCGGTAGTTAGTACTAGTTACAAGTCGACGCCTCGACGGGAGGATATTACTCAGAGACTGTACGTCGTTGCTCAGTTACTGTACTGCCAAGTGACTGTATGGCGACGCACTATGCAAAACACATTCAGAAGCGTTGATAAACATATCTGATTAAAAAGTCTATGGTATTAGTCCATCTTTGTCTATGGTCAATGGTCATTTATTGCTGAGGAACCATAGAGTGAGGAACACGGTGCAAGACAATTAAGGTGTTGACTATTGTTCCAAACTGGATTTATTCTAAATTGTATATGTACMAACGGATATTTATTACGTAATACATTTTCCAAGTATAAAACAATTATTAATGTTTATCGAAAATTTTGGATAACTGTTGTTTGAAATAAATTGTTCAGAAGCGTTAGAACTTTGACTAAATAATTATTGAAACATTGCCTATGTCMTTCATGGTTCGAACAATCAATTATGRAAATAGAAATAAATGTTAGAGCTACTTACAATTAGGTACCTAATATCTATATTACAGACTTTATATGAAAATAATAACTTTATAAAGTCTGTGGTTATATTAATTATATTATACGTCTTAAATCATGCAGTTGACCACAAGGGATACTTAATACACGTTAGATTTATCATATTATAAATTTATAAACAATTTTTACACCCATAACCATTTTAAACCAATTTGTATAACATTACAATAAATACAAGTAAAAATTTTGATTTGAGTTCCTGGTAGAAATTTGTTATTTGATAAAAGTAGACAAAYTCATGAATAATSTAGGTGCAGGTATTGAATTTTCAAATCTAGAGTTAAAAAGATAAACTTTTRTAAATTGCAAATTTTCGTGATTTTTTTAATTTTGTAAAAATTTGAACTTTCAATCCTTATATAAAAAAAAAAAATGTGGCTGTATTTTTAATATCTTCTAATTACCATTGTGAGTGTGACAATATCTTAGGAGCCTTGTATTAAATTTTGAAGCTTATTTACCCAACGAATAAAATTTCATTGTAATTTATAAAAAAAAAAACAATTAATAAGATTTGAAAATTTCAAATGTCTACAAGAGATTAAAAAGATATGAAATATTTTGAAAATTGTATCAAGAATAAACAACCAGTAAAWATGTCATGTGTCTACTGTAATTTGTTTTAGAAATTCACCAATATCTAAAATTGATTTATTCAATTTTACATAAAAATTCTCAGTTTTCCTTAATTTTTTTTCCGGTGCTTTTAAAAAATTCTAGAAATTAAAAAGTTGAGCTCCTCCCCAATTCACCAATTTCCAACCGGAAAAGCTACTGAAGTACTGAAGTTAAAAATCGAATCATTATTTCGACAATTTATCGTGTACACTCACGAAAAAAAACACACACACACATCATTGTAAAATCAATATATTTCAAAAACCAACGCTGGAAGTCTGGAATAAATAGTTAGGAATAATGAACGTGAAGCTTGAACAAAATTGAGGACATATAGGTAGGGCTATATGGTGACATAAATAGACTGTGGGACAATTGATCAGTGGAACAAATATTTTTTCGGGAAGAAAGTACATTTTGAATATTTATTCAATTGGATCAAATTTACTTGGAAACAACAGCTTACTATATGGGTATTTTGTGGAAAGCAGAGAATTAAGTGATTCGATTCCATTAGGTCATTCGTATCATTCGTACAATCGTACCCATTGGCCATTATCACCACGAGTGACGAGTAATCTAAGACTATGATCGTCATCGTGATTGCCACTCATCGACTCGTATAGAACACTATAGTCGTATTATTCATTATTATTATTATTACTATTATTATTGCCGAAGTTATAATAAGGTATTTATCGTTAGTGAAAAAAAAAATAAATAAATAATAATAATAATTTTCTTTACGGTACTACGCTTGCCAAAACCTATTAGTATTTAGTTTTTGTGCGATATTTCTGTGTTGTGTCTACAAACAATAGAAGGCGACGCTATTTCGTTTTTGTAATCCAATCGTTTTTCAATTAATATCTRGAAATATTTAGGTATAAACATTTTCTCATTTGTCGAACAACACACCGATGAATTAATTCTTGGGGCGTAACACTAACGTAAACATACGACTTTTATTTAGAAATGTCTGACGGGGACGTGATCAAAGACGGCGTGGATAAGTTGGAGATTCACGACGACGACGAGATTGATTCCAACTACAAGCCGCCGCCAGAAAAATCTATTGAAGAGCTCTTGAATGCTGACAAAGAAGACGCCAGTTTGCAGAAATACAAGGAAAAATTACTGGGTGATGCTAACAGTGGCAAAATCATTTTTGGTAATTATAATTAAATACAATATTATTGGGTAGTGTATTGTATTTAGGTACTTGATTAAGCTGCATTATTACAGCAGCCGGTATTACATTCGTGAAATGAAAGTAAAAAAAAAAAAAACTAAGTAATAATAGTATTTCTCTTTAACTATTTTTATGACTGCTTATATTTTTGGATTCATATTTTAAAAGGACGACATACCCGCATGTATTATCTCTGTCTTACAAGTTAGTAACATTGCAAATGTACGTTCACCAGATCACGTTTAGCTCCTTTAATTAAAGAATTTAATGAAATGACTTCTTATAAAATTTAAAGGTAAGAACATTATCTGTGTTCGTTTGTTGGGTTTTTACAATAGTTTAATTTTTTAGAAAGGTTTGCGTACATATTATGTTATGCGATTGTAGGACTAAAACAACACATGCGAGTATGACGTCCTCTTAATAGTTTTTATTTAATCTAAGTTATACCGTTTAAAAATAAACATATTTTATTTCAATATCTGCTTTCTTTAAATCAAATTATATTATTGTTACCAGTATGTTATAAACTCCACTAGATAGTTAATACTTAAAATATTCAATATATTTTTTTACCAAATTATATAACATTATATTATATTTACAATCTACATTAAATTTTTTATATTAATCAGTTAATGTAGATCTTAAGAGTACCATCTATAAGATATTTTAGTTCAATTAATTCCTGAGATAATATGTTTTCGTTAAAAATAAAAATAGATACTTTAAATTTATAATTAGCTGGTAGCTTAAATTTGAAAAAATAAGAATATCGTAGATAGGTTCAGTTGAATTTAATAACTTCAACAGTTTTTATTATATAACTTATATTTCAATTTTTAACAATTAATCTAATAGTAGTTATTTAACTTATATTAAAATCAATTTAACCCTGTGCTATAATAGTCATGTGGTTATTTATTACATGATTGGTTGTGATAGTCTCATTAGTTAATATTTGTATTTCAGAATTTTCTATTACATTTTGAAGCTCTRGAATACATATATAACTCGTGCTACTAATGGAGGGTTAATAAGTGTGGACATTCTAAGTCATTAAGATTTTTTTTTTTTTCTAGATGAAAATAATCCAAATAAAGTGATTGTCAAGAAATTAGCGTTATGTGTTACTGACAGACCAGACATGGAACTTGATTTGTCCGGAGATTTAACAAATTTAAAAAAACAGGTTATTATTTTACTTTTAATGTTAAAAACTYTTTGTAACATACTACAAATATAATTACATTTTAGGTGTTCATAATAAAAGAAGGAATATCATATAAAATTAGAATAGATTTTATAGTACAACGAGAAATTGTTCATGGTCTTAAATATGTTCAAAAAACTTATCGTCTCGGTGTACCAGGTAATATTGCTGAACATACTTGATATAATATTACTTTATATACTAGGGATCACTAAAAGACATTAAATATTTTTGGTTGTGCCACTGGAAATTCAATGTTTTGGGATGCATAAAAATTGTATGTTTATGCTTATTCAAAGARAGTAATGGAAAATTAATTTCAAAAACCTAATATTCCCCCTCGGATGGAAAAATGTCCTCTTTGTGGGTCATTAACGGGACAAATGTTACCTCCATATCACCATTTGGTAATCACTGGTTCATACCAAACAATTGATAATTTTTATTCATAGTTAATTAAACTGTATGTTAAAATGTTCAACTAATATATTTATATGATTCATTGTTAATTTTATACACATAGTGATGTATATTATTTTTATGTTGGCATAGTTCATACAAAACATATTGATCATTATAAAAAAATTTTTTTATAAAAAATATAAACTTGAACTGATAAAGTCCATGTCTTAATAAATATCAATATTATAACTTTCAGTATAGTTGTCTAATACTGTCATATATCTAATTATTTTATTATTGTTTAATTATAGTATTCTAATAAGCAATTAAAATATATTTTGACATTGCTTCAAAAGTATTTTTTATTAAAATTATGATATCGCATAATTTTTTATTTTACTTAATCAATCCTGAACAATAAATTTGTATTTTGTTTATAATTTCTAATTATATATATATATATGTGTGTAAATATTTTTTACATTTACTATTTATGTCACAACAAAGCATAATAAGTAAATAAGAGAATATAATCATAAATATATATTTTTTATATTTATATAATTATTGAAGTTATTATTTTGTAATTAGTTTTTTTTTTTATTAATTTAGATCACAGCCCACAGGCTTACAGAATCATAATCAAAATTTTAAATTATTTATCAGTCTTTTTTATACTATTTTTTTAGATTTGTTAATCTGGAATATTATCTTGAATATCTGATCAAAAAAATAATCAATCCCCTTTGTTTTTTGTTCTGATATTTAGCAGATACTGATATCAGTTCTACATTTCGAGTACCTACTACAATAGTTCTAGCCTTTTAGGATCAACAAAATGGATTGTTTATCATTAAGTGGTTTTAAAATATGTAGTTTATCAAAATAAATTTTTCCTTATAATAAAATCTATAAACTTTATTATTGTATTGTTAATCTCTGAGCTATATGGTTAACATTAAATAGGAAATAATTCATCATAATAAAACTWACAAGTTTCATTTATTCTCTAAATTATATAAATAACATCTATAATTAGGAAACTGTTATAATATTTATATATTATTTTGAATTTTAAAACGGACCTGCTGAGAAATTCATGATTTAAAAAATAGTATTTATTTATGGTTAATTTTTGTTTTGCTGCAAAATAGTTTGAGGTAAACCAATTAATATTTTTGTTATTCAAACATATATTGCTAATATGTTGTTTTTTTTAGTTGATAAAATGACTCACATGGTTGGATCGTATCCACCAAAGATGGAAATACAGAGTTATACAACACCAGCTGAAGATGCTCCTAGCGGCATGATGGCACGCGGCTCATACACKGTCCATTCTTTATTTACAGATGATGACAAAAAGGAACATTTGAAATGGGAATGGGTATTTGAGATTAAAAAAGACTGGAAGGACAACTAATTTACAGGGAATTTAAAATTTCAGTTATAAATTAAAGAAAATAAATTTATAATAATTTAATTACATAAACAATTGCTTAATGCGTTTATTTTCATTCATATTTTTCTTAGATTTATAGTTAATTTTAATAAAAATCCAATTTTTATTTGTATTATTATTATCATTATTTATGTATAAATACTATTTTATTTAGACTATGTCTTATTATGGTGCCAAAGTTTTAATTYGATCAAAATTCTTACTACTTACTCTGGTTTCTAATAAGTTTTTTCAAAAAATTATGTTTATTTAAAATTTCTAGAGACCATGGAATTTTTATCGAACAATATAATATTTTAGTTTTATCATTTTAACATCACTTAAAAATTAAATATCATATTTTTGTGAAAAGAAAATTAATTTTTTATTGTAATTTTTTTTATACCTCATCATACATAATTATATTCACATTCATAAGTTCTAAGTATTATGTAATAGATCAAATAATAAATCATGATTGAAATATAWATATTTTTTTATTGTTTTAAAATTGCAAGCTAATACTAGATATAAATTATGCAAATAATAATTGTGATTGAATTGTTTCTGAAAATATATTAAATWATTGATAGGGAAATGTAATTACTAGATATTATTTTTTTAATCAAACAGAATTAATGTTTTAAATTTTTTCTACTGTACTGGTTTTATTTTCATCTTATTAATAAAATAATAATTATGTCAAAATCAATGTTATGAAAAAAAATATGTATCGTTGAAATGAAACAATATATTTTATTATTAGTGGCGACGTCTCTCTCGATCTCTTCTGTCATGTTTGTGGGTTCGACTGCGGCTACGACTATGTGAACGATGTCTACTGTGACGGCTACGTGACCTGTTGATTTATAAACAATCCATTRTATATATTAATTTCTATAATCTCATAATCTAAAAACAAAAATACCTAGACCGTCGGTGTCGTTCATTTCTATCTCCACTTCTAGACCGGTGACTTCTTTTATCATCTCGTTTAAAACGCTCTAGTTCATCAAATTTACGCCGAGCTTCATGTCTTTCTTCATAATTTTTCTATTTAAAGGAATTAAATAATTTTTTTGTCACATTTTTAAATTGTTAATAATAAATCTTACTTCAAGTTCTGATAGTTTTTCTCTTATTTTAATAAATCCTAAATGTAATTTTCCTCCAAAATGGTCAGCTAATCTACGATCGTTATCGTGAATGCCTAAATAAGCTGAACATACATCACACACTCTTAATTTTTGCTGTTGATAACTGCTTACAGGCATAGAATTCCTATAAGTATCTTCTGCTTCCGATTTTTTTTTACGCAGATCTTCAATCTTATCAAAGAAATGTATTTACATATATTAGACAAGTAAATATATTAATATTTTATAAATAAAATTAATATCTAATATACCTCTCCCATCAACTTAAGACTTTCATCAACTAAACCTTGGGCACCCAATTCTTCAGCTTTAGCCAATGTTTGTCCTATCTTTTCAGCTAAATCATGAACAGCATTGGCTTTTTCAGCTACTTCAGCAGTAAGTTCTTCCTGAGTTTCTAAAAGCCGTTTTCGAGCAGCTTCAGTCCTCCGATCACAATCACTAATAAATGCTTGTAAATGTTCAGTAGCCTGTAGAAAAATAATAGATGGATTAGTTATTCCTAATTATCATACATATTTTATTTAAAAATCATAAATTACTTCATCTACTTACATCGACATCATAATAGTGATCAAACTTCTGTTGAGCTTTTTCAAAATCTGCTCTTAACGCATTATCATGTATTTTTGGACACTCACCAATGTCCATGCGCTGAAATAATATAAAAATTTAATAATGGAATACGTCAAACAAACTAATACGGAAATTAAGGATTTACATGGAATATCAGGTTTACCTGGAATCATGAAAATGTACACAATATAGGGAAATAGCATAACAATTAATGACTTACGTATCGAGTACTTAACAACCTCAAAACTTACACTTGCTCACTCTAAGAAGATACATGGCCTGAATGAATTATGTTAAATAAATATAAATATTATAACATAACATTAAGCAACAAAATATAATTAATGTATTGTAACAGATAGCTCTGTCGTTGTCTCAAAATTGTTTGACTTACAGACAGACGACCATTTACAATTTGCTCACCGACATTGAAGCATTGATGGCGAGCATCTTCCCCATCTTTGTATCATTGTCTTGAAACGAATCAAAACACAATTCGTTTTTGACTATTCCTAGAGAGGGTGACAATAATCAGGATTAAGAGTAAAACATTCGCATTCAAATAGACGTAATTAACTGATTTGATGTACGTACTGTCTTCGATGAAGATACATTATAGAATAATTTCGGTAGATAAAACCGATTGGTAACTTAGAGATAATTATTAACTACTCACAAAATATTTGTTGATACCATGGTAAGCTTTGTAGATAAGTTCTTTTTAAAAGTAATGAACAATATAGAAGTCAAAGAAAATTTACTCTACAATTAATTTAAAAAAAATTCCATTAAGACTATAACTGAATTCCATAAGTTTATTTTTTATATTTTTTACAGATGCAAAAATAGTGTTGAAATAAATGTATGTTGTAARTTATAGAATGTCTAATTGAAATTTAAATATTTTACTGGAAAATATATTATATTTATGAAAAAAATAAATAGTTTAAACTTTTTAATTATTATTTGTAACTAGGAAGCAGATTTGTTAAACTATTAAATATGCAATTAAACATATTAAGCATGTAGGTAATTCTGTAATAATTTTTTGTTTTAATTCTAGTTTGATATTTTTCGATTTATTGTTAAAAAAATATAATAAAAAATGTCTATGCATACAAAAATTAAAATAACTATTTCAAGAAATATATCAAAAACATTTTAATTATGTCAAAACATATAAATGTCAGAAATTTAAATTCTTTTAAAGAAAAAATTATATAGCTAAGATTTTACTATCTATCACCTGAACGTGGATTCATAAACTGATAAATGTTTAAATATTTCATAAAAAATTTAATAATATTTTCATATAAAAAAAAAAATTATAATATTTATATTTATTTCTTTGGAAATCATGATCATCAATCAAAACCTATTTAAAATATCGTCACTGCTGGGCATACCCAAGAAATCTCCATTTATCTATACCAATTTATTTTGAAATTCTTTAAAAATTTCTAAAAAACACCTCACTAAGTTGTGAAATGCCAAGTTAAAATTGTAAAATTGACTTAAAACATTCAAAGTATGCTTTAAAGTTTCATATTTTTAATCTTTAATCCAAGTTTTTGGACATACCTTAGAATATTATGGTAATTACAATTAATCAAAGTACAAATATATACTTGCATACAAATTCACACTATATTTATTGCTCCGTACAAA